TATGTTATTTAAGGATGACAAGACTTTCAGACCACGCCGTAGACGTTATAGACGCAACATTTTGGTGGACAATTCAACCTATACAGCGAGGTATTTTTGAGAGAATTAGAAGTCCTACCAAAATTCATTATTGGCAGCCAAAATCTTAACAAAATTAGATATGCTGATGACACAGTGATGATAACAAATACAAAAAGAAAAGTACAAAAATTCCTTCAGGAGCTAATGAAGGAAAGTGAGAAAAAAGGATTAAACATTAAATGCAAGAAGACAGAATACATGGTTGTTAGCAAAAGGCTGAGCCCAAAATGTAAATTACAAATCGGAGAAGCCAAGATCAAGCAAGTAGAAAAATTTAAATATTTGGGAAGTGTTTAAGACGGAAAGTGTGACACTGAAATCAGAAGGCGCATTGGGATAGTCAAGGAAGTGTCCCAAAAGCTAAGAGCACTAAGAAATAGAAAATTTACGCTAGAAACAATTAAAAGAGGACTGAACTGCTACGTGATATTTGTCCTTCTGTATGGCCGTGTGTACTGGACGATCTCCTCAAAGATGAAGAGGTATAAAAAGAATAAAAAATCCTAAATTACTGTGCCAAACACAAAAATCTAGTTAGTAAGGATAGAAAGGGAAAAGAGAACTCATGCTTCTCGTTCCCTAACTTGAAATAGGCACAAATGACAAAACTCAAGTGCGCCTATTAAGGTAGGGTAAGATTTTCTAATATGGCAAAAGGAGTCGCCAGGACAAAAGAATGTTGTGGATGAGGAGTTATCATTATTTACACTTTTTATATTCAGCCTATTCTCCTCATCTTTGTTGTTTCGTCCGTTGTGCCCTCCGGGCTACCTTAGGTGTATATCGATTTGGATCATCTACAGGAAATTCTGAAGTGAACCCTTTATTTAATGTACGGGTGCAGACTGTTCTCGTTTCACTACTCATTTCTAGGAATATAATCTCATCTAGTTCTTATTTTAATTTAGTACAATTCAGTTATTTCTCGCCCGTTTCCACTGGGTGCAAGGACACACTGACTAACCGAGGGATGGAACTCACAACCAATATGTCTTCCAAATTTACAAACCAACGATTTTATCCACTTCTATCCATCCTTTCAGATCAGATGGGAATTACACTTGACTCGTATCATTTTGGGACATTGATTAAATAGATTGGGTAAAATGAATAGGGATTTTTTTGGGGGGGTGGGGGATAATTGTTGTTGATTAACATTTTTTAGACCTACCTCAAGCCGTAATATTTGTTAGAATCCAAAAAAATTGGTTTTATTTTATCACTTTATAAAGGAGATTCTGTCCTGTAAAATAGATCTCCGACATTTTACATATTTATTGCACTTAGCTGTTACTTACAAATGTCACGTTTGAAATTGTACTTGCATCATTGATATGTGCATTTGTTTTTAAATTCTGGATTTAAATTTGTTTTGGTGTTCGGAAGCACATACACGAACATTGGGGAATAATTATTATTTATCTTAAGTTATCTGATTTTTATTTTTATTTAAAAAATATTTTGGCATAAAGAGCTAATTTCAGATAACTCTGTAAAAGGTTAAGGGTTGATTTTACACTGTACTGATTCCATGAAGAAACCCCCTCTTCTAAAATAAATAAAATAGTTATCAATGTTTTTCGATTCTGACAAATGTCACGCCTTGAGAAAGCTTTAATCTCCAAAAATTATTTCATCCACCAAAATTAAATTTTCCCTATTATTTTTATCTATTTTTTTAACGAGGGGACCATTTTGGCTTGGTATCTGCGTCCGATAGCGTTTCTATAGAAATTCTATACATGTGATGAATATATTAACATCATGTGAGTTCACAAAATTTTCTTCGTGATTAATAGGCTGATAGTTGAAGATGGTGGACGGTAATAATGGCACAGGTAATCATATCACAAGTGAAAAAATAAGAAAAATGACACAAGTGAACAACTGACTCTTTAAACAGCTTAAAATTAAGAATCAGTATCTGTTTAATTCTAAGCCATTTAGAGTTAAATTTCTAGTCAAAGGATAGTTGTTGTCTGTTTATTTACTTCTGGTTCATTTGTCCGGGAACCGTCAAGTACACACCATTGATCTCGGTGCTTCTACCACTACCCCATCATGGAAGACATATCTAGTAGTAGTAATAAAAGAAAAGAGAAGATTTGCTTCCAAGGATACATATATACAAAACAGATTATAAGATCAACTACTATCAGATTTTTTCCTATTTTTCCACTTGTGCCATTATTACCTAAATTCAGCTGAAGATACCACTAAGTTATTTTGGTTTTGTTATGAGATTGGTTAAAAAAAATGTAAGGGGGGTAATTCGATTTTGGTATGTTAATCAATAGTCCACGAAGATTAAACAAGAGTGGTATTTTGGAAAATAATTTAAATTATTAGAGTAAGTTGTGAATTGGAATTTTGTTGATTACAATTTACCCACAAATCTTGCTATACACAAGGAAAAGTATAAAATTATACATAGGGAAAAATACAAATTGATTCAACTAAGATTATTGAATTACGTCCCTTGTTTTTAGGTTGGTCACATTTCATTTAATTGTTTTTAGCTCTCATTTGAATTGTATAACATACGCAGTGCTGGATTATGTATGACCTTTTAGGGCTATTAGGATAATGAGATTATGTGGCACCCCCTCAGATGAAGCCAAACTCTAACTCGTCCGTACCGTCTTGAATATGTTTTACTCGTGATATATTTTAGCGACATTTATTTACATATATCTTGAAATAAACTTATTGTAAATTTTAAAAATTAAACTAGAATAGCTATCTTTTGTTTGTCAATAAAAATATTTTAAGAAATACCACTATTTTACTATTTATTACAAACCGAATTAGCACAAATTTCCACACAACTGCAGTAAAAAAAAAAAGCGTTTTTTTTTTTAACCAGCATTATAACAATAAAACAATCAGAATAAATATAAATTTGTCATATTGATATCATTTCAGTTTATGAATCTATTAAGAAGTTATAACATACAGAAATTGAAAATCATTCCTTTATAAAAGCTTGTGGGGCCCTAGGCTGCAGCTTATACTCGCCTAAAGGATAATCCTGTCTTGCTTATAAAGTATTAAACCGATTTTATTCGAGCTGACAGTATAGGAACATCGAAATGGTTGTAAGACTATTTTTTATATATATATATATATATATATATATATATATATATATATATATATATATATATATATATATATATATATATATATAAGAATTGTTTATCTTTATCTACCAATATCGTCAAAATATTGTTTAGGTAAACATGCGACACTTTTTTGTTAAAACTACAATTAAATGAAATATATTAAAAGAATTTAATTAATATCATTGACTAAAAGATTTATAAATTACCAAGACTTCAAAAGAGATGATATAAACAGAATTAGCAGCTTTTATAACTAATCTATCATAAAGCTGACTTTAATTTAAAATTTAAACAAAAATATGACTAAACAAGATAGATTTTTCTTTGAGTACATCTGAAATGGTTGATTTTAAACCAGACTACAACTGAAATATTTTTTCCAGTTTTAGTTTTGGTAGTTAAAAACGAATTTCGAATATAAAAGGCTAACATTTTCTAAATTGTGATATTAGAAAATTCAACTTGAGGGTCATCTGCGCTGTCAGATTTTATTATGCAAGTTATTATTTTAAAAATACATTTGGTATTAACCAATCAATGTATTTCCGGATAAATATAATGTGGAGGTTGGCGTAAAAAGTTGGTTTTCAGACACACACGCACACTTCCTTTTATGTAGTAAGAAGTTGTCCTTGATAGTTCTTTGGTGGTTAAAGAAATGGACCATACTCCCCCGCTTACTGGCGATAAGCTAGAGAGAACTGATCCCATTTTCTGGATTTATATAATTGGTCATTTCCTGGATTTATATAATTGGTCGGTGAGTACGGTAGGATTATCCTTCGCTTTGGTACAGGGTCTTTGATCTTTTGTTTCGCTTATCCAAGTATCTGGTTTCAGAAACGATGCTAATTGATGGATCTGGCCTTGGTGTTAATATTAATGAGCTGTTAAGGAGATGATAAGTAGGTGATATTTTTCAGGAGATTTAAGAAATATTTTTAATTTATTTATTAAAATTAGCCTACTACTACAATAGCATGTAGATTTTAAAATGTTTTCATTAAAAAATATTTACAATAACTTATTTGATAGTATGAGATTTCATTATGAAAATCAAGGTTTGTTCATCATATAAATGAATACATATACAACAACATAGTGATATTTAATTTTTAATTTCAAATACATAAATATCTCGATGGGTTGCAAGAGATATAACTCCAAGACAGAAACAAGGCATTGTAAAGTGTAGAAATCGGCACAAAACATTAGACAGTACAAAAACTAGTTAAGCATCTCATAAAATAATAAAAAAAGGAAAGAAAACGTTAGAGCATAAGAACTATAAAAAAAAAACCTGGCTTTAAAAATGTCACAAAAAAGATTTAAGAAAAATGAGAAGAGGAAATAGATAAGAAAAGTTGATTGACCAGCAAGAAAATATTTAAAAAAACAACAACAAAAATACTACTGTTACGAATGAAAACAAGATGTAGAACGTGTTGGCTAAAGACGTGAAAACAATCAAGGTACTATCTGTAAGTAAACATACACACACACAAAGAAAAGAAACGTGAATGTTAGGCGAATACAGGAAAAACCGATTACTCGACTGTAATTTTTAGTGATGAAAGTAGGGCTAGACCTGATAGTTGGGCCCTTCACAGGAATAATCAACCAACGCGAATTAGAAAACAATAGTGGGGAGATGGTGCAATATTTTGGGCTAGTATCTGAGCAGTAAAATAATAGATGTCTTCAAAGTTAATAATGTCATCAAGGTAAAGGCAAAAAAATTATAAGTTCTTAGACAAAACATTTTTGAGTAGCACATGACAAAAACGTACACGCTTACGACCATATCACGTTGAAACACCAGTTGTCGTTCGATCACTGAAGTTAAGCAACGTCGAGCCTGATCAGTACTTAGATGGATGACCGCTCGGGAATACCAGGTGCTATAACCTTAGATGTGCGAGTGGTTTAATGGTTAATGGCTCAGAGTTGGAAATCGGAGAGCAGAGTTCGAATTTCTTGTTGGGTTCGTTATGCTTACTTACGTGAAAATACTTTGGGTATGGGTTAAATAGTAGAAATTGTATTACAAAATCATTTTCTCCAAAAAACGTCTTAGAATCCATAAATGTGCTTCGGCTTGAAATAACTTTATAAAGGTTAATAAGCCGTAAAAACAAATCTGTCATAAATAAATAATCGTATGTCAAAAAGAAGTTTTTTTTTTCTTTTGACACTGTTATTAGTGTATGCTCTGTCAGCATTTTTTTTTTATTCTTACTACATTTTAATGAAACTACATTTATGTATTTTATTTTTCTTTCGAGAATTGCTAACAAAAGTACGAAACACTATTCTTGTAAAAAAAAAAAAGTACAATAATTAAATCGTGTTTAACATTTTTGTATAGATCTAGATTCTCGCGCACTATTTTAGTGAATTTATGTGTCGGGAGCAAATGAAAAAAAAATGACTGAAAAATTCATTTTTTTTTTCAAAATTTATGAACACAGTAGGTACCTCCATTGATTCGCTAAAAATTAGCATAACATGATGAAAAAATGCCCAAACGTAATAAAAGAAAAATGTTATCGTTAAAATCTTTATTATTAAGAGAAGGGGGCACCTCCAGGTGGTGTAATGGTTAGCAAGTTTGTTTCGCTATAACAATTACGACTGAGTAGTGAGTTCGATCCTCGCTGGGTGCCCCATACTTTCGGCCTTGTGCCACATCTAAGCTACGCTTGGAAAATGACTATTATCAAGAGGAAAGATCAGAGGATAAATTTATGAAGAAAAAATTGTTTTCATAGTTAATTCTTTATAATATAATAAATATTGCAATATAGTTGGTTCATATATTTTTATAAACTTATAAATATAAAATTATTTTTGTAAATAAACAATGTAATAAAATAGTGTTTAATTCTTTTGTTGTCAATTCTCGAGAGGAAAAGTACGTATAAATTCAGTTTCATATGTTTAGGTTTTATTAAAATTAAAAAAAAAAAAAAAACAAAAAAAAACGTCCTTTTCACACACCGTTTTTTTTTCTCTTTATAACAGCCAACGTAGGCAATAATTATTTTCTTTGATTTAGAACTTCAGATGAAGTCTTACCATTGTTTTCATATCTGTCTATATTTCTGAGATGAGGTATTGTAGCTATTTACACTATTTACATTGTTCGGACTGTTGTCCTCATCTTTGTTACCATATTTCACGACGTTTCAGATGTTGTACCCTCCGGCCTTCTTAAGGTGATTGGAATTTCGAACTGAACCCATAGAAATGAATACAATATGGAAACCAATAATGCTAGTGAAAAGCAATAATAATAATAAAATTGCAATATGAGCTCTGGTAAAAAATGAGACATTAAGTTTATAAGTCCAAAAAATTCATATGCTGATGTCCTCAAGGTCACATGGCACTGTGGATAAAAGTGTTGGTTGGATCCAGTGACTTGGCCCCAAATGCTGTGAGCTAAATACCTGAAATAGAATTACAATGTGAGCTCTTTTAAAAACGTTTACTGAGGCATTAAGTTTATAAGTCCAAAAAGCAGAGTGGTGTACAAAAACTTGGAGAGTTAAAGGGAGATAACTGAGGCATGGCAAGTGGAACTAGAACAATCTACTCCGGTAGTTCGAAGTTCCAATCACCGGGAAAAAAAAAGGCCGGACAGTGTAAATAGCGTAAATAATTGTTTTCATACTAAAAGTATCACTGCGAATAAAATTGTTGTAAATGTTTTATCTGCAAATGCCAAGTCGGCGTCATAATACAAAATGCCGACCACGTGTGGTTGATAGTTAATGTGTTAAACATTACCTGTAAGACAATGCTCCTTCATATTCTCACATTGCTTTAAATAAAGTTTCAAAGACACCAACTTAATGGAATGCATCCGCTTAACCTCTTCCGATATTGGACTCATAGAAAACTGACGATACATCATTAAGAGATGCTTATAAGAATTGAAAAACGGTAGAAATGTTAGCAAAATCAATGGAATGAAGTTTATAGAAAGTTAAAAAAAATATATATATTAATATATAAAATAAATTATAATTCCCTTAGCATGACCATTACGCCCTGTCAATACCTCATAAATAATAGCTGTTTCGTTATGGTCGCGTGGAAAGACGGAAAAGACATATCAGAGAAGCTACTTGCTTTCAGTGAGAAAGAAAGAAGGGAAGACAGAAATGTTTAAAGTTTGTTTCAGCGAAATGGAAAAAGTAGTAAATTTCAAATCTTTTCATTTGTACCCCCTTACCTCTTTAAATAACCAGCCGCTTTCATATTTATGATTTTTATTTCAATATTTTTAAGTTGTTAACAATGTGATAGGGGAATTCCTACGGATATTTTATTGTCCTAGAAATTGCCATGAGCTTATTCAATCATTAACTGAAGAATTAAGATTCATCAGAAAATTCAAAAAGCAAAACAATGAAATTTTCACGGGCATTTTTTAGTGTAAAATAATAATCTGTTCAGGTTTTTTGGGATATTCTGCGAGTCAAATATGTTTTCAAGGCGTATAACTTTGAAATTTATAAATAATAATAATAATAAAAAAATTATGCACTATAGGCATAATAAAAAAACGGACACTCCCGAAACAAGATATCGTCAAGATTTATAAGGTCAGATATTTCAATTTTAAACTCACGCAATATATTGCTCATATCCTGAAAATGTTACCAACATCGGTTGATCAATATTATAAATGCCTTGCTGCTTCTTGCTTTCCTGCTTCTTGCTTTCCTGCTTGTTGCAAATCCTCTTTTATAGTTACAGCCTTTAAGCGAACAGCCTTAGTAGCTTTATTGCCTTACTTGGGGTGAAATGTGACACAAGGTCGAAACTATGGAGTACCAAGTGAGGACTGAACTCACTATTCATTAGTAATTAATCTAGCGAGACATAATTGCAAGGCATTACACTGCGACGAAAAATCTGAAAGTGGAATTGGATTTTTAGCTCTGACAGTAATTATTAGTAAATATATTTATCATTATTATTAGTAGTAAATAGATATATTTATTAGTAGTAGTAGTAAACATATTTATTATTATTGGTAGTAAATATATATTTATTATTATTAGTAGTAAATATATTTATTATTAGTAGTAGTAAATATATATTTATTATTATTAGTAGTAAATATATTTATTATTATTAGTAGTAAATATATTTATTATTAGTAGTAGTAAATGTATATATATTTATTAATAGTAGTAAATATATTTATTATTATTAGTATTAAATATATTTATTATTATTATTAAATATATTTATTATTATTGTTAGTGAATATATATATTTATTATTATTAGTAGTAAATATATTTATTATTATTAGTAGTAGTAAATATATTTATTATTACTAGTAGTAGTAAATATATATTTATTATTATTAGTAGTAAATATATTTATTTTTATTATTAGCGAATATATATATTTATTATTATTATTAGTATTAAATATATTTATTTTTTACCATCAGTGAATATATATATTTATTATTGATAGTAGTAAATATTTTTATTATTAGTAGCAGTAAATATATTTTCAATATTGTAAATACTGAGTCATAACTTCACTATAGTCATAACTTTATTATCGAAAGGTTGGGTTTTTAGCTTGAAGGATCAGGAATAGTTAAATTGACATAGTGACTAAAATTAAATTACCTTTAATCCACGTTTTATTTGCACGAAAGGATCCTATTTATTCACACTTTTTTTTATTTGCCCACCTTTTGCTGGTCTGAGATTGGTTAAAATATCAGTCGAGGCCAAATGAGAAAGAGAAAGAAAAACACTGAGATAAAGTAGATAACAGAGAGGTAGAGAAAGATACGGTAAAGATAGAGAGAGGGTAAAGACGAAGAAATTAATATCGGGATAGAGAGAACAGGACACTCCCCACCCACAAAAAAAAACAAACTTTTATACAAGCCCATTGCTCATTGAAGGAAACTGGGTCCACATTAGGTTTTGCATATATTTGTTTATTTTGTGAACTTTAAACACGAACGTTGGTTTAACGTTACAGAATCGGTCACATGTGTCATAAAACGTTTAACTGAGAAGACGGGTTTAGTGAAAAGATGATGAAAAGATTAATTTCTTCACAGTTCCACAAAGATTACCGTATTTTCCGGCTTACAAGACGCTGCAACTTGGAAGACTCACCCTAATATTGGAAAGAAATTTCTAAGAAAAAAAAAGTCATTCTCATACAACAACACATTCACCAAGCGTCCCTCTCATACTGGAGCCACGTATTGTTTACATTAATCACTAGTCCGATTTTGTTCATATGGCAATGACATACTAGTCAAAAGTAGAAAGTCTCCCGTCGCTGCTAGTAAACCGACTATGTTTAAGCTTGTGGCTCGGCTCCAGGAAGGTTTATAGTCTTGGAAATACTTGTAACAGCTAAGTACTGAGGTGACATCATATATAAGGCTGAATGAGATAGATAGCTAAAATTATAGTATCATGCCTCAACATACAAATCCACGTCCCTATCAGTCAAGCCAATTAGGTGACCGTCCAAGCATACTTGGAAGACGCACAAGTGTTTTTCAGGGTATTTTTAGGGAAAAAATGCGTCTTGTAAGCCGGAAAATACGGTATATTTGCTTCTTTAGAGATTGCATTAAAAGTTTACTAAAGAATTTAGAATAAAAAATGTGTACATAATTAATTTTCAAGACAACCTTGGAGTGTGAGCTGCGTAACAAACGAACATACGATACGTTTTTTTGAATGAGAGACTGCACCTTTCCTTCTCATTAAAAGGTGCAATATTTATCTGACTTTGCAACAATCGATAGCCACTTTTTGTGATCGCTGCAAAATGCTTTGATGGGGAAAAGTTTCTCTAAGTTACTCAGCTTCAAGCGTTTGTCGAAAAATTTTCATATCA